GGCTTTAATTTACTTTTAAACCTTCTTTTTAAGTTGTGGTATTTCTGTTCCATCACTGACTGCTATGTCTCAGGATGTTATTCACTTTACCTTACAAACGTCTGTTTGAGACAAAATCATCCCTCACAATCCTTGCTTGTACTGTAACTTGCTCATATTGCTTTCAACTGCAGTCCTCATCAGCAGATGGTTTGCTCAGCTGTCATGGGAGTCTAACTGAGTAAAGGTTTATAAGTGCTCAGAAGGGAACATTTTGACATTTACAATTCCCATCAATGAGAAGTTCAAATAAAAGACGCAGTACTTAAGACAACATCCATTTATACTTTTTGCCTTTCAGAAAAAATACAATAAAAAAAAAACTGTGTCCAGGCTTTCAGTCTAATTAAGTGATGAAAGCAAGAATTGTAGCAGTTTACACTTACAGTAGTGGAGTAATAGATAATGAAAGTGAAAACATTCATAGTATAAAGATAGACAGTATAAGATAGAAAGAAAACATACAAAGAAATGATGGCTATGATTCAACATTTAGCCAAGGTCAGAATCTTGGTTTTTAAATTATTGCAAAAGACTGTCAGTGAAAACAGGTTATCAAGTATTCTCCAAGTTTTATCCCTGACAGAAAAAAATTATTATCCCGACATTTACCAAACTCCTGACAGACCACAGCATTCTTAACCTGCAGCTCTGACATGAAATTGATAACTGGTTTTGTCAATCAGTCAATAACAATCACCTCACAGGGTGTTTTGTCCAGTGGGGCGTTGCTTTCTAGCGCCTGGACAATCTGGGCAGCTGATGGTCTCTTCTTGGGGTTTTCTTCTGTGCAGAGATAGAAGAGCTCCACCATCCTCCGGTACGAACCGCCCAGAGCCTCGCTGTCCAGAGACGGCCTTGTTCCCAACCGCTCATAGTAGGCGTCCTCATCGAAACTCTCTTCCATAGAATCTTCTGAAAGTGCAAGATTTAAGGATTTTAGAATCTGGAGGTGAAGGAATCTAAAACTAGGAACAAAAAATGGGCAGAAAAATGAGAAACAACTGGCAGAACACTGGCTATTGTGCCAAGCCAGATACAACTACAGCCTACTACACTTTACATTTTGTTTCAAAGTAGCATCATCTTTGTGCAAATCAATATGCCATGCTTGTACAACAATTTACTACTAAGCATACCAATAACAGTTGTTGTGACACTGCTGAGAAGTGTAGGTGCTTCTTTTAGTTCATGTCAGGCTACGGTGCAGGATACATGACTACACTGTATCCAAGGAGCATATTCAACACATCATTAGAAATCAAGTTTTACTGTGTACACTACAAGTGGCTGAATAAGAAGCCACATAAAGATTTCTTACTGTTAGATTTGATTCATTTTATGTTTTAGAAAAAACATCTTTTTCCCTCAAATTTTGTCCAACAAGGTGCAATGATATAACAATTACAATCACATAAGACAAAGAAAAGAAATGCAGTTCTTACATTTGATATGCTAAAACCCACAAATGTTGGATATTATTTCTTGATGAAACAATGACTGGTTTTGGTAATAATTATAAGCAAATGTATTATGTGTAAATCCTGTTGCTTTCCACAGAGGAGTATTTCACCTTCACCCTCCTCATCGTCATCATCATCCAGCATCTCCAGATGAGGCATCGCCAGCGTCATCATCTCCCACAGAGTCAGGCCATAGGCGAAGATGTCGGCCTTGTCGGTGATCTCTCCTCCCTCCTCCAGAGTTTCCTTGGGGTTCCACGGCTCTGTGCCGATGTATTCTGCTTTTGGATCAGACACTAAGGACAGAGAGTAATGTTTTTAATCAAACTCCATTTGGACTCAATAACTATTTAATTGCAAAACAAATATTCAATTTGTCTGGGTTGCCACAATGGCGTCACTCAAAATGACATTATTTTTACACAGAATTCTTGTGATCTTTGAGGCCGCAGAAGAAGATCCAGAAGTTTGCAATTAGTTAAAATTAAATCCAAAATGGGAGAGACCCCTACAGGCTGATAACATGTGTATATGAAAAGAATTTATGTTTCTGTCTGGGCAGAAAAACAAAGTAAATCAACTGCTGTAAACAGTCGTTTCCACCCAAATGTTATTTGCCAATTTTGTACTTTAATCTGTGATTAATGCCACTTGTGTACACAAACACACCCACACGGTCTGGACTGGCAAACGCATCAGTGTACTGACAACTTTCAATAAAAAGGAACCACACCTCCTCTGATAAATGGTTGAAGCAGTCTTAAATCAAAAGACAAAGTCTCGTCAGGACACTGAAGTCTTAGACCTGTCCATATGCATGTGCACAAAAAGAAACTCTTGAACAGCTGCTTTCCAGCAGCAACCTCTGTGGGGAGGAGTCTAGACAATATGGGTGTGACGGTACTCTACACTGATGCACAATAATATCGGAACTCTAAACTAATGCAAGATGAAAAACAACAGATTGAAAGAGACTATTGATTAAATATTCAATTTGAAATGTGATCAGCTTGCATACTGGGTAATATGGATGCACATTTCTCAGTAAGTAACCATCAAGTTTTCAGCCAAACCACAGCATAAGTACGATAGAGCTACTCTGAATGAGCCTAGTGCAGCTGATTAAACTGACAATAGTACTGTTATCTACTTATTCCTAGACTGACAGATGAAGCAAACTACTTAAAGGGAGGGAGGATTGTAGTTGGAGCACTGGGGTGTCAGCTACAGTATGTGTGGATATAATACAAGGTATAGATGGCTCACAGATTACAACGGCCCTGTAACAGAATTTTGTTTTGGGCCCTTGGGAGGTCAGGACCAGCTCTGACTAGAGCTGCACTTAACTTAGAGTTTTGTCATTTAGACTTCAACAGGATAGTCCTCCTTCTTAAACAGAAAAATGCATAAATACATTTCAAGAGTAAGTCAAATGAAAATATTAAGTTCAATCAACACTGTTGTTAAAATAATCTAAATTCAAAACACTTGCTGTATTCTATTTTCTAATGCTCTAAAAGGCTCCAATTTTGTATGAAAAAAAAAATCACACAAATGTTCAGTATTCTACTGGAACAGGTGCTGATGTTGTTCTAGGAATGAAGCTAGTGTAGAAAACAAACAAAGACATATTTGTACAGAGGCAGAAGCCCTTTAGAAGTTATTTCATTGTCAGCGTTTAGGCACCAAAATGCTTCTTCAGAGCACAAAAAAACGACAAAATATTTTTTTAGAAATAAAGCTTCCAGGGCACCAAGATGTGATCGCCAACCAATATGAAAAGAACGACTGGAATAATAGAATTCTATACGTAATACATAGCTAAATCATTCAACACTGTATAAAACACTATCATCTAGTAACACTGAACAGTGAAAAAGATTTATATACGAAGGGTAGATTGCAAACTGTAATATAGGAAGCATAACCTTAAAATGATGTATGTAAATACAAATATAAAACGTTTTTGCAGCTTTTATGGATTACTGTAATGCAATTTTGTTACAAACTTTCAAAACTCAAAACTGACTATATATCCTACTTGGATTTTTTACTGATTTATGCTGCTGCTTTGGGAATCTGACTAAAAACAGATACATGTACACAGTATGTGTCAGATTTTTCTTGATAAAATAATAGCCACATTTTTCACCTTACAGCATCAGACTTTCTGACCCTGAAAAGTATGTTAACAACATTGTATTTGGTCTTTATCTTATTGACGTTTTTGAATTCCTGCAGACAGTGAGCCTTGTGAGAGGCTTTTCCCATCGTCATGCAGAGCACAGTGCTCCGCACATATTCAGCTCAAAGCTACCTGCTTGTTTTCATTAGTGAAAACAAAGCTTACCTCTCAAGTTCTCATCCAGCTGCAGAGAAACACCAACGTCACAGATTTTCACTGTTTCAAAGTCGCCCTTGATGACCACATTACATGACTTCATGTCGCCGTGCAGCAGCTTCTTCTCATTGTGCAGATACTGTAAAGACAAATAAACACAGCGTTCCCAACAGTCAACAGTCTTTTGTGTTGATGTTGTTAAATTGAATTTGAAGACGGCAGATGTTCATTCAAAGACTTAAATAGAGGACTCAAAGTAGAGGACTCAACCTCTACACATTTGCAAGACGAACAGGCAAAAAGGAACTACAATTTCAATACATACAGAAACAGATCTGATGTTAACCTACAGTTGTACTCATACGTTTACATACCGTGGCAGAATTTGTGGTTTTTTGGGCCATTTTTCAGAGAATATGAATGATAAGAGAAAAACTTTTCTTTCACTCATGCTTAGTGGTTGAGTGAAGACATTTATTGTCAAACAACTGTGTTTCCTCTTTTTAAATCATAAGGACAACAGAAACTCCCTGAATGACCCTGATCAAAAGTTTACATACCTCCGTTCATAATAACGTGTATTGCGCCCTTCAACATCAATAAAAGCATGACATTTTCTCTGGTAGCTGTGGATGAGGCTCTTTATTTTCTCAGATGGTAAAGCTGCCTATTCTTCTTGGCAAAAAATCTCCAGTTCCTGTAAATTCCTGGGCTGTCTTGCATGAACTGCACGTTTGAGATCTCCCCATAGTGACTCCATGATATTGAAGTCTGGAGACTGAGATGGCCACTCCAGAACCTTCACTTTATTCTACTGTAGCCAATGACAGATCGACTTGGCCTCGTGTTCTGGATCGTTGTCATGTTGGAACGTCCAAGTACGTCCCATGCGCAGCTTCCAGGCTGATGAGTGCAAATTTTCCTGCAGTATTTTCTGATAACATGCTGCATTCATCTTGCCATCAATTTTGACCAAGTTTCCTGTGCCTTTGTAGCTCACACATCTCCAGAACATGAGCGATCCTCCTCCGTGTTTCACAGTAGGAATGGTGTACCGTTCATCATAGGCCTTGTCGACTCCTCTCCAAATGTAACATGTATGGTTGTGGCCAAAAAGTCAAATTTTGGTCTCAGTACTCCAAATGACTTTGTTCCAGAAGTTTTGAGGCTTGTCTCTGTGCTGTTGTAAACGGGATGCTTTGTGGCATTTGCGTAGTAATGGCTTTCTTCTGGCATCTCGACCATGCTGCCCAGTGCTTCCTTATTGTGCATCTTGAAACAGCTACACCACTTTTTTCAGAGTCCTGTATTTCAGCTGAAGTTATTTGTGGGTTTTTCTTTGCATCCCGAACAATTTTCCTGGCAGCTGTGGCTGAAATGTTTGTTGGTCTATCTGACCCTGGTTTGGTTTCAACTGAATCCCTCATTTTCCACTTCTTAATATGAGTTTGAACATTGCTGATTGGCATTTTCAATTCCTTGGATATCTTTTTATATCCCTTTCCTGTTTTATACAGTTCAATTACCTTTTTCTGCAGATCCTTTGACAATTCTTTTGCTTTCCCCATGACTCAGAATCCAGAAACATCAGTGCAGCACTGGGTGAAAGATGCAAGGGTCTGTCAGGAGCCCAGAACCTCATTGACTTTTTATACACACACGATAATTACACGCAAACATATCACAGGCTAGGATGGTTACCTTAAGTAGCCATTCAAACCCATTTGTGTCATCTTGTGTGCATGTTATCAGGCCAAAATCACCAGGGTATGTAAACTTTTGATCAGGCTCATTTGGGGAGTTTCTGTTGTCCTTATGATTTAAAAAGAGGAAGCACAGTTGTCAGACAATAAATGGCTTCACTTAACCACTAACCATGAGTGAAAAAAAAGTTTTTCTCTTATCATTCATATTCTCTGAAAAATGGCCAAAAAACTCCCACAAATTCTGCCACGGTATGTAAACTTATGAGCACAACTGTATGTAGATGGTTCACCTGCAGGCCGCGGGCCACATGCAGCGCCACTTTCTCTATGTTGGCGGCAGGGAAAGCCTTCAGACCTTCGTCCTTCCTCTTTTCTATCATGTCATTGAGGGACTGCTCTCCTCCGTACTCCATGGCCAGACACTTGGAGCCGTCCTTAGCCGTAGCAAAGGCTCGGAAACCTTAAAGTTGGGCAAGAAATGCAGAGTTACCACCAGAAATGCAACGCAAGATCACAAGTTGATTGACCTCGACGGGCTGCAATGCAGTCGATAAAAAATAAATCACATCATATAACAACAGCCAACATCCATCCATTATCTATACACTGCTTAATCCTCACTAAGGTCGCGGGGGGCTGGAGTCTATTCCAGCTGACTCAGGGTGAAGGCAGGAGACACCCTGGACAGGTCGCCAGTCTATCACAGGGCTACACTTAGAGACAGACAACCAAGCACACTCACATTCACACCTACGGACAATTTAGAATCACCAATTAACCTCAGCATGTTTTTGGACTGTGGGAGGAAGCCGGAGAACCCGGAGAGAACCCACGCTGCATGGGGAGAACATGCAAACTCCATGCAGAAAGATCCAGGGTGTCCTCACTGGGACGCGAACCGGTGACCTTCTTGCTGCGAGGCAACCATCAGGCCACCTTGCAGCCCCAACAGCCAACATGAGATGCTTATTGGTGAGGAATTTAAAAAACGTACTTTTATCTGATTTGAAAATCTTCCTTATTTTTGTTCTGTGTTTCAAAACTGATGAAACAGATGAAAACATAAAAACAAGTCGACAGTGAACTGTGGGGTCCAGTCTTCACTGTGGGGAAATGTCAAACACAACTACATTTTTATTCTGCCAGCTACGGATGAGACTTGAAATGTTGGGACATCTTTGTCAACAATGATTCTACAGTATTTACACATACAGCAGATTTTCCAAAAGACATCAAATGTTGCTCTAGTTAACCTTTTCTTGGAAATTTAAGTCTGGAATTTATGTGTAATTGGGAAATATAATAATATTTTGAAAAGGACAAACAAACAACGGCATTTAAGGTGACCTCAGGAGAATGCACCACAAGGAGAAATGAGTGGGTTTTTCAGCTCTACATAAACTGTCTCTGGGTTTTATGTTCAATAGAGGGACAGTGTTTTGATTTATTGTTGCAGGTTTATCATGTGACACTTTGGCTTTAAAATACAGCTTCTCACAAACAGGAGAGTTTGTCACTAAATAATTACATATAGATAATAATCGTAAGAATTTATTTGAACTAAGATTCTTTAAATCCCTACAAGGCGTTTAAGTGTTGATGCTTTTATAATCTTATTTCGTCACTGCAGCTCAGATACTGTTAAATATTACAACATTTAACATTGCAAATGCAACATAATCAGACATGAAGCAATGTTCTCCTCTTCTCTTGGATCCTCTCTGCTTTGGCAGCAAAAACCAAGTGACATTACATTTAGTTTCATACCAAGGACTCATAATATATCCCACATCTGATAATGTCGTGGCCTGACTTTAACAGTTGGAAATGATTTCTAGAGTTTCTGCATCTTACTCTCTTCTTCTTATGTGACCATACTGTTAACATTTCATCTGGTACAGCATCGCTTTTGCCTTTTCACTATACATGGTTCTGACAACGTAACCTCTAACTCACCAATCGTAGTTGAAGGTAGCCCAACAGTTTACAGAACCAGTTGACAACCGGCCCATGTATTCAGGACAGTCGATGTTAGCCTGCTTCATGAAACAGTCTCCTGATGGTCCTTGTCAGGCCACATTTCCCTGCTCTTTTGCGAATTCAAAAGTTTCCAGTATAAAGAACTACGTCTGCAGTCTTGTCTTACCAATAATGTTTGGGTGATTGAGTCCCTTCAGGACTTTTGCCTCCTCGTTGAGGCGCTGCTGGTAAACAGCCACCTGTTTGGTTGCACATTTACTGTTGATCTTCTTTACAGCCCAGGGAGATGCATTCAGTTTTCCCACCCTAGGATGAAATTGATCAATAACACTGTGTTAAGGTGCTTTGCGTTATCACAAATTACACACAGACATGAAACTCAGCATATGTTGCAGCTGGAAAACAAAAAGTACTTTGAACAAATACTTTATTGTAAATGGATTTTCAAAGGCATACCAAATGTAAGGTGACACATGATTATTATTTTTTTGTTAATTTCAGGGGGGCTTTCTTTTTAAAAGCCCACAGCTCATTCATCGTGGCTTCGTGATGTCCAGAACAGCAACTAACAAACACTGTCATTTTTGATTAATATGCAGGTAATTGTTTGATAAATTGGTTTATTAAATGGCCCAAAATAGTCAAAATGCACAGCAGAATTCCCAGCCCAAAGCCAAAGGACATTCACTTTACAATGTCAGGAAACAAAGACACCCAGTGAAATTCGCCATGTTTGGCCTCTATTGTGTTTTTTTTGTCTATATTTCTGACTAATTTATTAATCAATTAATAACTTTAAAGCTGATCATATTCACTGGCATATTTGACACTTATCCACAATTCAGTAGTAACTTTTTCTCCAATAAAAAAAAAAAAAATCTGCCACAATATTTTTTGTATGAAACACATAACTGCAAGCTTTGTGATGTCTGATCTGTGAACCAAACATGTTACAAACCCTGTTAGATATGTCAGGTTCTGTCCTGCCTGCATTTACAGTCGTCCTCAAATGTATTCATACCCTTCCACTAAAGAAAAGGCAAAATTCACAATAGTCACTCAAATAACTAGAAATGGAAAAAGTAATAATAAATACAAATGTGCTAGATTATAATTTAGTGAAATAAGACATTGCTTTAGAATTGTGGTTGAAAAAAATAATATTTAAAAAAAAAAAAAACAAAACAAAAAACTGTCCCAGACAAATGAGAGCACTTTGCTGATGAGCAGTGGGCCAAAATCAGAATACCTGTCAACAGGTGCAGAAGTCTGAGAGTTACAGAAAACACTTGATTGCAGTGATTGGCTCAAAGGATTGTTCAACAAAATCTTAGTTTACAGGTCCCATCATTCTTGTTTTTTTTTTTTAAATTTATATTTATGTCAAACCACAATTCAAAAGCAATGTCATGATTTTCATTATTTTTTTATTTATTTATTACTACTTTGCACAATTTCAACTTATTTCAGTGACAGCTGTTTTTTTCCTTCTTTTATGGGAGGGTATGAATACATTTGAGGACGACTGTACCAGTGAACATGAATGAATCTGCTATACCAGGGTGCTGGAGGATGTGGAGAGAAGCGACGGGAGCTGAGTGTAAAAACATTTCTCTGATAACTAACTAAACAACTAACCTTTTCATGAGGTAAACATTGACTCCGGTCCCACAGCCCAGCTTCTTCATGAACGGCGAGGCGGGGATGGTGATGGGGGTGCCTCCGCTGCTTCCAGAGCTCCTCACTCGGACAGCTTTAGGGGTTTTAAATGCGCCTTCGTCGCTGGATGAGGCAGTGGAGGTCATTCTGTCAAAGGAAAACAGATCTTATCACGGCTACTGGGCCAAAACATTTATTAGGGGAACAAACTGATGACATTTGCCCATACCAATTAGCTCTATCGACGTGGGGAAATAAGATATAAATGGCCCAACTGGCTTGTACTACTATATGACTTAAAACATTATTTATTACAGAAGTATGTGGTGTTACATGTTCGTGTCACAAGCCGAACTAAACTGTGAAGTACCTCATATTCTCCTGAGTACGTATAAAGCTACACTTTGTATGATTGCATAAAAGGACAACAAAAAGACACAATTTGAATGGAGGCTGGCGTAAGGACCAGTGACAACGGCGTTTGGGAGAAACGGAAAATTGTACGTTAAATTAAGGTATTATAGCAATGATCGGCAGCTTTAAAGTTGGCACCAATTGACAGCAAAAGAAGCATTAACTGTCAGAAAACTACACCGTATAATGAACCATTTTACATAATGTAGTGAACGTTAACGCCCAATGGTCCAGACAGTAGCAACCAAACTAACGTCAACACAGGTAAACTTTACGTTAGCCGCAAAGTTCGCTTCATCTGGTAAGTTACTGAGGTTAATGCGGCCACAGTCTAATTAAAACTGTTCCGCTTTGTTTTAAGATATGAAACACACTCGTGTAACCAACATAAGTAACATTACCTGAGTTTCTCTCTGCTGTCACAACAAAACCGCTGGAGCTAAACCGCGCCGAACATTCAAAATGACTACCGGCTCTCAGTACCGGAGCCGCAGAGGGACAAACAGAAGCGTTTGCGTTTTTAAAATGACTGAAGTAGAAACGATTTTTAAAAACCGTTTGTGTTGTTGTTTTTGTCAGTTCTAGACACTGAATATGCTACAGTGAATATATTAAGGGCATCCTAAAAACAATTAAATAATATTTCAAATAATAAATAGTTGTAATACTACTTTTTAACAGCTGAGGGCAATCACGTGCTAAAGTGTAGGACATATCAGGTGCAGGAAAGCCAGGGACACAATTAATGATGCTGAGGTAACAGATTGGATTAGATAGATAGATAGATAGATAGATAGATAGATAGATAGATAACAATAAGTTTTAAATCTTTCACGAAAAACAAGACTAAACTAAACAGGCACCATTATTCTGATGTCTGTAAACAAATGAGATCATGATTGGCCACATTTAAATGGCTGACATTGTTACCTCTTTAAACAATGTTTAAGTCCTCATCAAAGGTATTTATTTGCCTTTATTAATGAAAATAAACTTGTTTTTCCCCCCCTCCTCACAAGCTTTTTTCCCATCTACCATCATCTTGATTTCTGATTGCCTACTCTAGTTTGCATGTGTTTTCAAATGCCAAATGCTGATTGGTTTACTTTCATTGTTATCCTTCTCTAGGATTTAGTTTGGTATTTAGTTTCAGTGCCCTTGGCTTGTTTGAATTTGTTTTATAATGAGGTCCATGCCAAAGTATAGAGGCAGCACTGTGTTGCATTGCACTGACGTTACCTGAAAACATGCTGATGTTCCCCTAACTTGTGTGTGCACATATGTGGGAAGTAAAGGTTCGCTCAGAAGAGATCTGTGTCATTTTCATTACGTGCCGGCTGCTTCTCCAACATCAGGGCCTTGTCTGAAAGAATTTCCTCGTGGTGATGGTGAAGTTGACCTCCACCTCGACTCTCACGATCCCATTTTTGTTTCATCTCCTTCACACACACTGCAGATGGTCCTGTAGCTCAGTCTCCTCATTGTGTGGAGGGATAACCGTTTCATTATGAGGAAGAGGAGCAGGAATGTGGTCCGATGACAAATGGATGTGGAAGGGAAGACTGGGACTTTCTCTCTCTCTCTGTCTCCTAGTTCCTTGTTCCCCTGAAGGGATATGAGCTCATGTTTGTGGGCTCTGCTGCCACATGTTGTGGTATATTTTATAGCATGAGGATGGGTTAGTCTCTGGTCACACCACAGAGAAACGGACAGAAAGAACGAGAGTAGGGTTCCTTACTGTCATGATCAAATACACAACAGTCATATGTTTACATGTTGGAAATTATGATTACAGTAGTATGAGTCAACACCTGTCTGTTATTAACACTGATTATTCATGAATCTTGAGTATACTTAATTTAATCATTGATTGCTATGGTAATGTTAATATATAGCATGTTGTTTATATTTTGGCATGTTTTATTCAAGATTTTAGAAAAAAAATCTGTTTTCTGTTAGTCTCTGATTACATATCTCCTGTGATTTTTCTGTAATACTCAGGCTTACAACACCTTTGATAAATAAAGATTTATTGTTTGCATAAAAAATCTCATCACAAGGTCAGTTTAGTAGCAGTAGTAGTAGCAGCTGAGGCCATGTGAAGCTCAGCGTCATGGTTCCTTATTGACTCTGGAGACTGAATCTGCTGCTGATGATCTTGTGATATGATCAAAAGTTCTAGAACAGAGAAATGGATCTTTTCTCAAATGCTGTTTTGAAGATGTAAGAATAACATTTTTGGCAGGAAAGTTTTCCATTAAACAACCAATTTATTTAAATATACACACATCTAAATAAAACTGATAAATGTAAGCAGTACATCTGTACTGTACATGCACAGGAGACAAATACAGGGCACTATTAATAAAACTGTGAAATCCAGATGCACACTTAGTTTTATTAAAATTATGCAATTTTCTGCTGACAACAGCCAGCTGTTTGACTCACATATGGGACGGGATGAGTATTTACAAAGATCATGTAAACAAAGAGACAAAAAAATAAAAGAGTTTTGTACTGAACTAATCGGAATCCAGGATTTTCATGCACCACAGGATAAAAAGTAAAGTGTTAGTACACCTGAATATTACTGATGAACATTTTATAGAAAGACTTTGTATTCTGCCCTGACAGTCTCCTCTCCAGACTTTTTTCAGCTTCAACCAACTGCTAGAAGGGAAAAATGGACGGAGAATACTTTTAACAACCCAAATTTAGTTCATTTTTCAGGGTCATGATATGTCAGCACCTATGGTGCAGGATCATCCAGGATTTATGTGTCAAGATTCACATAAATCTTTCTCTGGTTGCGGTTTTTACATCTGGAATCATGCAGAACTGCAGCCAATGAAGGAAATGCTGCTGTAGAGCAAACATGCAGTGCCTTCTTTCCAATTTAACTCTTGTCCTCCAGTTTAATCCGTCCTCCAGGCCAGAAAGCCACAGCATAACTAGTCATGTTGTGTGCCAAATGATGAGATGAAGACTACAGAGGACAACATGGTGAGTTGATGCTTCGAAGAAATTACAGCATCTTCCTTCTTTGCGGTGGCAAATACAACAGTTAAGCCATTGTTTTGTCAAATTTAAAGCCTGGAGGTGGTTCTTACATGAGAAATCTTCTGTTTCATAGAAAATTTTTATAGTATCAGGATAGAAACAAGAAAAATAACATCTCCAGGTCCTGATGTCCTGGGCAGCTGGGTCCTGATGATTGTTTCAGTATGGTCCTGATTCAGTGATGACTCATTATTCCCTACACAGTAAACACTGAGCAGTAACTTATAATTATTTATTTTGTATTATCACTGATGTCGGTTTCACAAACTTAAGTGTATTTAGTATTTACACCAACTGTATTATTACCGTTGGTTGAAAATGTTACATGAAAATAAGTGTGGAATGTTTTATGTGTTAGTAGTTTATTAATTTCTTTGTGAGAAGCATTGCGGTCTACATCTGCTGCTGCTGGTGGGCCTTTATAAAAATGAGTAGGCCTAATAATACGTTTCTGTCACTACACGATGCACCTGTCTGCTGCAATCCATCCGCAGCAACTCAGCCCCAACCCAGTGGGAGCAAGTCCACCAGTCTCCATCAGCAGAGAACCATGGCCTTAGAGTTAAAGCTGGTGACTTTCCTCCTGGCTGCTTCATACTCTAACCACCCTGATGAAGCCAAAAGAACCACGTCATCTGTAAAAAGTACAGATCCAACTCTGAGGTTCCCAAACTGGACACCCTCCTCACTCCGCCTGCTCATTCTCAGCAGTGAGGTGGAAAAAAACATGTGGCTGTATCAGCGTCTCCGCCAAAATAATTAGGAAAGTATTTGCATATTTGAAATTTGTAAAAATCCAATCCATTCGACTTAGAAGCAAGAAAGACAGTATTAGAGAAGATAAGACACTGAGCATGGATGGTCACATAGAATGCTTTTCACCAGAATGATGTTGTTATAAACTGCAATCATGTCATCAGAATACATCAAAAGATCACATTAACAATTTCTACTCGTAAGAAGTTTCCACAAATGATTACAATACTGAAAGTTGTTGCTTACTCTTTGCATTATGAGGAAAACAAATTGTAACATGTTGATCCCTGACATTCATCCTTATCAAATCAAAGCATATCCAACGCTCAGGTTAGAGACAGAAAAACTGTTGACGCATCCCTCCAACAATCTGCAGGTGTGTCAGCGTAGCTCCACTTATAAAGCTTCATGCTTTGATGTATCAAATAAAAATGGACACAGCCTTACCTTCCTGGGGGAAAAGTGAAACCACATTGGCACAAGTCAAACCGACTTCACAGCCTTTGGTCAGACTGTCTACATGTGTGTTGGAGATCAGGTGATTTTTCAGCCCCGTCACTTCTACATCCGCTTCACATGTGGAAACATTCATACGTGTGATTACTGTTCAGAGCTGCCAGTCATACATATGTGGTGTACACCTCCACGTGCTTCAGCTCCTGTGATCATGACTGCAGCTCACACACACACGTCCACGCCAGCTTCCACCCTCTCCCTTCACCTGCTGACATCTTAAAGGCGTCTGCTTCCAATTTATTTCTACATGTTATCAGGAAAAATACACCTCACCTGTTTAAACAAATCTACATTTTATTACTTCAGCAGTGCATATGCGGCATTTTAGTGGTACAAATCAACAGAACATAAAGTAAAAAAGCTCTGTGTATGTTTAGGTGAAGTACTGTATCAAGTATTTTTAATCATGATGGAGTTATTTCCATATGCATCGTGTTAACTCCACAGCCCTTATATGTGTTACGAGCAGCACTATGTAGTAAAAAACAGAAACATACAGAAGTGCCTTTATCCCAAAATAGCAAAGTCTTTGTACAACAAATACATTAAAAAAACACTTTAAAATCTGTACTGGAAAACAAACGACACATTTAAGTGGTTAAGTGCACTTGGTTTGCAATGTGTTCTCACTTTCAAAGGTATGGCATTAGGGTTCTTTACATTTTAAAAGTCAAAGCATTTGAGTTATTTGACCCCATGCGGCTAAAGCTCTGATCTGAGGTCAGAGGAACATCTAACCAATCAGCAAATCACATCACAACTGTTTTATCCTGCTGATATCTGATAGGCTGCAACTCAGCTGGGAAGCATCATCAGTCATACATGTACCCGTGATAAAAGGCTCAACTGGAGGGGACGCTGGTTTTGCACATGTATGCCGGACGCACACACGGTTTGGACATGTGATCTGCTTTTACTTCACTGCTTGCAGTCTTCAGAATCTGTATTTACCAGCAGATTACATTCCTCTGAACTTTAACCCCTTTTTTCTAAATTCCCAAACCACTCTCTATATACTTTGATCATTTTGATTTAATCTTTTCCAGGAAAATGTGAGAAACTCTTCTTATTTTCTCTCAACTTTTGAAAATAAAAGTGTAAATGATTTCCACCACTCTCTACAGGAGATAT